ACAGATTTTCTACTTTCACATGAGAATGATGCATGCCTAGTTAACTTGAATACATCATGTGTTGAGTTACCTATTGATTTAAGCACACCACCTAGTTTAGAGACTCGTGTTACTGTCATGAATGTGTCATGTGATCAAACAACTGAAATACCAACAATTTTGAGTGCACCCATTAAATTAATTGTTGATGCAAAAGAACCAATGTTTAATCATTTTGATATGACCTCTAATCTTGGTGATGATTCTGTGTCAAATGACTTATTTCATGTTTGCTTATTTAAGTATGTTGTAGCATGTAAATTTTATTCAAGTAAGGTTTATTCACCAATGTTGGGATGGTTTAATGATGAACATTGTCAATCCTTTTATATGAATAAGAGCCTCACTTATATGTGCAAATTGAGTTGCAAATATTTTCATTCCTTCTAATACTTGTGATAATATTTTGGCTTTACATTTTATGAACTATGAAAGTTACGCATGTATACATGTGTCATATGTGCAAAAATTAAGGGAAGTAAAAATGGATGACATATACATATACAATATGTACACCTTGTCTCTTTTGTTAGCCACATTTCATATTAAGCAACGCTGAGGACGGCTTTGTTTTCAAGAAGGGGAGGATGATGAGGATATGACTACCATGGATATGACCAAACATATTGCATACATATATATTTGTGAGGTGATTTCTAATGCAAACTATGCAATAATTTATTTATGTCATCCAGAACAAAAACACTTCACAAACTTTTGTGTCATCTCTAATTGCAGGTGTATGAGACATTTGTACAATCCACATATGAAGATAAGGGAGAAAGAGATGTTTACTTGTTGTTCAAAAAGTTCTCTCACGCCACTTTTGGCCCAAGAGAAGATAGAGTCCAACTCTCTCACGTTCTGGACTTAGATTCAAACTGCATAGACATACCTGACTCAAAACATCAATAACTTTTTCATCCAGACTCTGAATTTGGTGATTCTTTTTTTGTTGGAAAAAGAATTCGTGCACTTTCCAACCCAATTGGATTCACCTTCAAATTCGTCCGGAGCGTTGAGTTATGGACAAAACAATCTGATGCTGCAGCAGAATTCGAGTCAAACTACAACTCCAAAGGTGTTACGTCACTCCACTTGGGCCCATTGGCCTTGTACGACCTAGGGTTAGTTTTAGGCTGCCTTGGGACGTCCTCCTACCTCCTTGGCTGGCACCCCTTGCTCCTATATAAGTAGATCCATCTAGTAGCTTTTTCCTTGGGATTTGTTTAGTTAAAAGTTAGCCAATGCAACTTCGTGTACTTCGTTTGTGTTCAACGACCAGACCAAGACTACTTTCGGATCCCCACCATTATAAATACCTCATCCATATTCGCAATATTCAGATTGCTTTATCATATTCTTGCTTGTTCTTTGATTGCTTGCAGGAATAGGCCTTCATGGTCAGGCTAATCGTGCTTTTGGCATCGTCAGTAACCTTAGGAGATTGGTTTAGCGATTGCTAGGGCGCAAAGTTGTGCACGTTTGTAGTTGGATCGTCAAAGTCTACTCCACCAAATCGATAGTTATCGTCTCATCAAAAGATCGGGACACCTCGCCTCTATCAAGGAACATGTATAAGTCATGAAGAAAGCAATAGCAATAAAACTTATCGGTCATTATGCTAAGCTAATGGATGGGTCTTGTCCATCACATCATTCTCCTAATGATGTGATCCCGTTCATCAAATGACAACACATGTCTATGGTTAGGAAACATAACCATCTTTGATCAACGAGCTAGTCAAGTAGAGGCATACTAGGGACACTATGTATTGTCTATGTATTCACACATGTACTAAGTTTCCGGTTAATACAATTCTAGCATGAATAATAAACATTTATCATGATATAAGGAAATATAAATAACAACTTTATTATTGCCTCTAGGGCATATTTCCTTCAGTTCCAAGCAGAGCGTCGTGGTAGGATCTACGTGTGAAGCGGAGTACATAGCTACTTCGGAAGCAGCAAATGAAGGAGTCTGGATGAAGGAGTCCATATCCGATCTAGGTGTAATACCTAGTGCATTGGGTACAATGAAAATCTTTTGTGACAATACTGGAGCAATTGCCTTGGCGAAGGAATCCAGATTTCACAAAAAGACAAAACACATCAACAGACGCTTCAACTCCATCCGAGATTTGGTCAAAGAGGGAGACATAGAGATTTGCAAAATACATACAGATCTAAATGTTGCAGACCTTTGACTAAGCCTCTTCCACAAGCAAAACATGATCAGCACCAAAACTCCATGGGTGTTAGATTCATTACAATGTAATCTAGATTATTGACTCTAGTGCAAGTGGGAGACTGAAGGAAATATACCCTAAAGGCAATAATAAATTTGTTATTTTATATTTCCTTATTCATGATAAATGTTTATTATTCATGCTAGAGTTGTATTAACCGAAAACTTGATACATGTGTGAATATATAGACAAAACATTGTGTCCCTAGTATGCCTCTACTAGACTAGCTCGTTGATCAAAGATGGTTAAGTTTCCTAGACATGGACATGAGTTGTCATTTGATAAACGAGATCAAATCATTAGTGGAATGATGTGATGGACAAGACCCATCCGTTAGGTTAGCATAATGGTTGTTTAGTTTTCTTGCTACTTCTTTCTTCGTGTCAAATATATATTCCTCCGACTATGAGATTATGCAACTCCCGGACACCAGAGGAATGCCCTACGGGCTATCAAACGTCACAACGTAACTGGGTGATTATAAAGATGCTCTATAGGTATCTCCGAAGGTGTTTGTTGGGTTGGCATAGATCGAGATTAGGATTTGTCACTCCGAGTATCGGAGAGGTATCTCTGGACCCTCTCGGCAATGCACATCATATGAAGCCTTGCAAGCGATGTGACTGATGAGTTAGTTACGGGATGATGCACTACGAAATGAGTAAAGAGACTTGCCGGTAATGAGATTGAACTAGGTATGAGGATACCGACGATCGAATCTCGGGCAAGTAACACACCGATGACAAAGGGAATAACGTATGTTGACATTGCGGTTGGACAGATAAAGATCTTCGTAGAATATGTGGGAACCAATATGAGCATCTAGGTTCCGCTATTGGTTATTGACCGGAGAGGTGTCTTGGTCGTGTCTACATAGTTCTCGAACCCGTAGGGTCCGCACGCTTAACGTTCGATGACGATATGTATTATATGAGTTATGTGTTGTGGTGACCGAAGGTTGTTCGGAGTCCCGGATGAGATCACGGACATGACGAGGAGTATCGAAATGGTCGAGAAGTAAAGATTGATATATTGGAAGGTCATATTCGAACACCAGAATGGTTCTGGAGAGGTTCGGGTATTTTTTGGAGTACCGAGGGGTTACCGGAACCCCCCGGGGAAGTAATGGGCCTTATTGGGCCATAGTGGAGAGGAGGAGGCAGGTCACAAGAGGTGGCGCCCCCCCATGGCAGTCCGAATTGGACAAGGGGGAGGGGCGTGGCCCCCCTTTCCTTCTCCCTCTCTCCCTCCACTTCCCTCTTTACCGACTAGGACTAGGAGTCCTAGTGGGACTCCCCCCACTTGGCGCGCCCCCTAGGGCCGGCGGCCTCCCCTCTCCTCCTTTATATACGGGGGCAGGGGCACCCCAAAGCACAACAGTTGTTTCTTAGCCGTGTGCGGTGCCCCCCTCCACCGTTTACTCCTCCGGTCATATTGTCGTAGTGCTTAGGCGAAGCCCTGCATGGATCACATCACCAACACCGTCACCACGCCGTCGTGCTGATGGAACTCGTCGAATCTTTTGTGCCTCTACTAGATCAAGAGTTCTAGGGACGTCATCGAGCTGAACGTGTGCAGAACTCGGAGGTGCCGTACGTTTGGTACTTGATCAGTTGATTTGAGAATACGTTCGACTACATCAACCGCGTTAAGTTAACGCTTCCGGTTTCTCTCTACGAGGGTACGCGGACACACTCTCCCCCTCTCATTGCTATGCATCTCCTAGATAGATCTTGCATGAGCGTAGTAATTTTTTGAAATTGCATGCTACATTTCCCAACAATATTTTCCTTGTTGTGGAGCAAAAAATAATCATCATTAATATGGAGGTTTCTTTTTTGAAAATGCGATCATAATATGGAGTAGATGGACCAGGAAGGATTCGAGTGATCAATTTTTTCCTCCTTGTGAGAGATGACCCCACATGTTCCCCCCTTCCTGGACCACTTATGTTAAGCTTTTCTCCCGTCGCTCTCCCTGCCACTGGCAATCGTCGGTGGCCAAGGTGGCCCCGACTTTGCTCCCTTTCCCATCCCCTTCTTTCTTCCTAGGAATAAAACCTCTGACGAGTCTCGATCTATGGATTTGAGGCAACATGGTGACCTCATCCTTAGCGGCGCTTGGAGAAGCGCTACATCCCCTTCTTTCGTCGTCCACCTTCATACTGAATCTGACCTTTAAAGTCGAAAGCCAGTCTACCCCACATTGAATCTTCTAGACAAAGGGTGACCCTTCAAAGTTATTTCTTTTTTCTTTGAGTCCTTCTAGAAGTTTATTGTCGAGTGGCTACATGCTTTTATGTCCTTCGGTGTATCCCAATCTTCATATCCTACCCCACACCAACGCTAGCCCAACTCTGCGACACGTGGGTCGCGACGTGTCCATCTGCCTACCATGTGTCTATCTTGGTGGAGTGCTACAAGCAGTCTAATATTGTTAGCTAGGGTCCTATTTGCAAAAAGAAGAAATGATATGTAACTTATGTTTCTTTTGAATCCTTGTAGATATCTAATACATGCTTTTCTTGGTCCTTCGGGACCCTTGTTACATTAAAAATGGGAAAAACAAGGATCCGGGTGTGGTTTTTGAAAGCATATAAGGAAGGAAGGGAAATTAATTAGCACATGCCCACATTATTCATCTTGTGACAAAAGGAAGAGTCCTCCAACTTTTAGATCTAAGATTGCAAGCCTCCAATATTTCCACCACCATGGGAACCCGGTGTTGGTCCTCGCTCATGCCCGAACTCATCGACCGCATCGGTAGCTGCCTACTGGACACCGCCGACCTTGATTGTTACATGGCCCTTCGTGCCGTCTGCCACAACTGGCGTGGCACCACCGTAGACCCCAAGAATACTCTACACATCCGCTTCCGTCCACACCGTTGGATTATGCTCGACTATTCATCCCACGGTGAGGACGCCTGCCTTCTAGTGAACACCGTCTCCGGTCGGTACCATGGCAGGGATATGCCGCTACTCCGCAAGTACTACATCATCTCCATCACCATCGACGGGCTCCTGGTCCTGATGGCCAAGATCCCGCCCCACGCCGTGTGTGTCCTCAACCCGTTCACGGGTCACATGGTCCACTTTGTGGCGCGCATGCGCCCCAACGTGCTCGCGGCAGCTGTCTCCAACTCATCCCCACCCCGCCTTGTCCTCTACTGCCACGACACCATGAAGCTATACATGGCCAGCCCTGACACTGCAAGCTTCATCAGGTACATAACTAATTATGCTTGCCCTTTCGTCAGGAAGGTTGTCCAAGGTTGTGTCGCTGTTGACGGCCACCAAGGACTGTTGCCACCACTTCCTGCGACGGTTGTCGCCAAGATCGCTGATCTATTGACTCCGCTCATCATCGGGTTTCCCCCTGACATTCAGTTGGATTCTCAGAAAAGTTGTTTCCTCGTGGAATCTGCTGGAGAAATTCTGGTCATCTTCAAGCTCGCGAATCGTGTGGAGGTCTTCAAGATGGATGGCATGGGTGGAAATATGCTAGTGCGCGTGAAGAACATCGGCAGTCGTTCCATATTCATCGGTCGCTCTCAAAGGTGCCTCTCCCTCGATGCCGATAAGTTCCCGTCCATTGAAGCCAATTGCATCTACTTCACCGAGTGCCTAAGTTCACCATCAACAGACATATACCACCTCAAGGACGGAGAACAAGTTAAGAACGCCATGAGTGTTGCCGGTGGAGCCGGTCCTTCAGTGAACCTAAACATGCCCGCCTTTTTGTGGCATTCTATGACCGAGCATCCCTGCACCATCTTTCAACTTCTCTCCCTCTACACTTTCAACTGGCAATCTGGTCAAGCGTCACATGTGTTAGAGTATCAAGATAGTATTCTTTAGAGGCTCCATACTGCCCAAATATCGTTTGGTGACCTTCTTGAGGCCTATCAAGCATATTCTGATGGCGACGATTGAACAATTGATTCGGCATCCCTGTGTTGTGTTAAGCTTTATATGGTTAATGTACTTTTGTTTTTCTGTCATGCTTTCTTGATGCTCTGTTCTGTGCAACAAACAACTGGTTGGGTCTTGATAGTTCTATCAATGCAGTTCTTTATGTATTTTGGTATGAAACTTTATTATAGGGATTCATTCTGGTGCTTTGGTGGTGCTAGTTTATGTACCATGTCCATGTCTGTTTTAGAAGTGACCCTCTGTAAAGGGAGTACTAAATTAGTTACATGAAGTGGTAACTTGTTTCCGTTTTTTCTTTTTATGTGCGCCTACATACATATATGTTATCAATATTTGTCTATTATCTCTCTAAATCCGCATCATATTCTCTCAGCTTAGTTTATTATTTGTCTACCTTTCTTTCTTTCCTCTACTTATGTCAATTATCTCAGTGTTGTCTTACTTTATGAGAAATTATCATTTGCATTAACTAGCTTGTATTGTGGCCTGGGCGGAAAGTTGTGTCAAATCCTAAAAACATCAACAATCAGTATGTCTACATGTAAATTAAATTCTTGTGATTCATCTACTGTCCAGGATATATGAGTGTATTTACGAAGAGTCACGAATACAAAAAGGTTTGTCGGACCAAATATTTTCATTTAACTGAGAATTTTTTCCTCAGCAAAAAATAGAGCTTATTGTTTAAACCCCCTCATGCCTAGTGCTTTCTTACTCGTTGCTAGTGTTTTTTCACAAACATGGTAGACACTCTCTAGTGTTAGTAAGATGGGGCAATAGATTGCACAAAAGCCAAAAGTCATTTAGTGAAAATTAAGTACTTCATCTGTAAAGAAATATAAGACTTTTTAGATCACTGTGGAGTAGCTCACAAGGAAATGGAAATGGAAGGAGCCAACTCCCGCTATAAATAGTAGTTGAGCTCAATAGCATACACTAGCCGTTGTTGGCTTCATTATAGTAGATGTAAACTCAATCCCCATTGCATATCACCACCTAGACGTTGGCACCGATCGATTTGGTTGTCGATCGCATTGGCCGCCTTGGATGTGCAGAATTTCTCGCATGCACCTGCTGATTCTTGACTGTGCAGGGGGTACATTTTTATGAAAGTAATTGTGCATCTGCAACTCCTATCTCATCTCTCTATCCAATGATACGATTCAAGTGTTTAATGGATTGCACAATTAGTTGGTTGCCTCCCAAACTTGGAGCGAATTAAGACCAAACCTTCTTCCAGGGTCGCAGCTTAGTATACTTAATTAGCACTAGAAGGATTGGATGTGCTTTTCGAATTTCATAAAAAATTGGTTTGGTTTGTGGGGGAGATGATGAAGTGTGTTTTCTTTTATTGATATTTTGAAGGTCTTGTTCTGTGGGTATAATGTTATATTTTGATGGTCTGCTTCTGTTGTTAGCTGCAAGCAAATCGGTGAGAGAGCCGAGGCTAGATCTTGGTCTAGCGCCGACTATTGGGGATCTCACGAGGGGAGACGTGGATAGACAACCATTAATTTTTCCCTCTTTTCACCCGACAGGTCTCCTGCATGGTGCGTATGGGATCGAGGGGCATGTGGGGTATCGGTTTAGAAAAAATCGATGGGGTGAGGGAGATTGTATGATAGGTGGAGGGACGAAATGAAACGAAACGACGTACAAAATCCCTTTTTTTGCGAATGTACAAAATCCCTTTTAATAGTAGAGATATTGGAGGATTTGAATCCTAAGATCTCCTTGATTCACATGATTCTTAAACGCAGAAACCAAAAAGCGTAAAAATAGAGTGACACTTCATCTTCAACACTACATTATTATGGATGTGTGCATGGAAAACATTAATAAGGCAGTGTTGTTCTTATTTTTTTTCACTTTGATGATCACATGGTTTCGTCATGATATGGGTTTATTTATTAGTGAACGGTCAAATTTTGTTTTTGAGGGAGTCATAATGTTTTTTGAGATCATAGTGGACTGTCACTATTTCTTTTTCGAGAATCTAGTGAAGTGTCATCAAATCTTGTTTTTTACGGGTTGTCATCAAATCTAGTGTTTGTCGCAAATGAGGCAATGGTGGCCAAACCAACAAGTCCAAACAACAAGCCTCTTTTGAAGCGAGATTAAGACATTAAGGCCCAATGCAAAAAATAGCAGAGAAAATGCCCCTTAGAAGAAAGAAAAGAACGAGAGAGGACACGAAGAAACCCGGAGGCTAGAGAAAGAAGAAGGCTCTCGAGTGGCGACTGCGTGACGAGGATATGAGTGAGGAGGAGGCGACGGGCAGGCGAACAACACCCAGCCGAACGTGACCATCTACATCAATAACCTCAACAAGAAGATCAAACTAGAAGGTATTGCTTATAGCGAGATGTACGGTCCCCTCACGTGAAGCGTTTCTCCTCTCGCTATAGTACTCGGTTGGCTCGATATTCTATCATTGTATTCACCATTCTTTTGTAATGGTTTATTTTTTCGGTTTTCTTCATTTTTCTTTAGTTTTCATTGTTTCCACTATTTTGATTTGGTTTTCTTTGATTTTCACTATTTCTTTTGTTTTGCAGCGGTTTTACTTTGCTTTTTTATTGTTCCTTTCTCTTTTTTTTAGTTTCCTTCATTTCTATCTCGGTTTCATTGATTTTTATTCTATGATTCTTTGGTTCCTTTGTTTCTTTCTCCTTTTAGTTCTTTTTTCTTTGTTATTTTGGTTTTCTCCATTTTCTTTGTTTCTTTTTCACTTTTCATTGTTTTTATTGGTTTTCTTTTCTTTTTCCTTATTTGTTTTTGGGTTCTATTGGTTTTCTTTCATTTCTCCGTGTTTCTTTGTTGGTTTTCGTTGGTTTCTGTTTTGTTCAATACACGTTTACTTTTTTCAGCACACAATGTACATTTCTAGTGTACACATGAAACATATTGTTGAACATTGAACATTTTCTAAATAAACGACATACATTATTTCTTAAATACATGTTTTGAACACAAGGTCAACATTTTTTTAATGGCAACAATTTCTTTTGCACACAATGTACATTTTTTGTATACATCAGGATTTACTTAATATAAAAGATTAACATTTTTAAATAAAGAATTAATATTTTTTAATAGATGTCATTAATTTTTTACCTTAATTAATTTACATTGTACATTTTCTGCATAAAACAGGAACGTGTTTTATATATGCTTATTATTTTTTTAAATACATGAATAACATTTTTGATATATGTTTTGGGTCTACTTTTTTCATGTATATTGTACATTTTTTGTATATAGTAAGGACTTTTTATACTTGTGAAATGTTTTTCAAATACATTACTATCATTTTTTCAGCTATATGTTTTGATGTCTACTTTTTTCATATTGATTGTGCATCTTTTGTATACATAAATAACATTTTTCTTACACATGTTTAATATTTTTGAAAGTACATAATTAACATTTTTTCAGACATATATTTTGATGTCTACTTTTTTTCATAAAAAAGGTACATTTTCGAATACATAAGTTTTTTTTTCTTATACGGGTTTAACATTTTTGAAGTACATGTTTTACAGTTTTTAAAATTTATTTTCGATTCAACATTTTTTCTTACATATTTTACATCTTTCCTATACATACACGTTCAAGATTTTAAAATACATGTTTGATATATTTTTAACATAGTATAAACGTAGATACTCATGCGCACGTACGCTCATCTCTGTAAACGCACGCATGCACACCTACCCTATGAGCATCTTCGAGAGACTGATCTGACACATCATTTTAATATTGACAAAATCGTTACATATGCCTTCGTAGCCGACGAGAACGTCTCCTCTCAGGGAATACACATCGTATGAAGGCTTGGAATAAATTCAGAAAAATAAGAGCACCGACGTCTAAGTCTAGAATTTGAACCCTGGTGGGCTGGGGGTAACATTGTTCTCCTAACCATCCAACCACAAGTTTGTTCGCACATGATTAACATTTTAAATATACATTTTGATGTATACTTTTTTCCATACACCATGTATAATTTTTGTATACATCAGATTTTTTGTATACATGTTTACTTTTTTCATATATTTTTTGGTGTCTATTTTTTCATATACATTATACATTTTTGTATATTCTATAAACGTTTACGCATAACATTTATTCAAAATATTATGCAATTTCATTTTTATAATATATATGTTTAGAATATTTTGGAATATAAACAAACTTTAAAAAGCAAATCAAAAAAAAAAAGAACAAATGTGAAAGAAAGAGCACGCTTAAGGCCTGTGTACCTCCTGCGCGCTTGGCCGGCCCATTGTCGCCGGTTTCAGGCGAGAGTTCCGGTCTCGCTATAGGCAGACCCTATTTGATGCTCGTTAGCGTTAAAAAGGTTCTGCTTTCGCTGAGGCGAGCTGCCGGTTGGGCCAGCCCATATATAGGTACGCGTTTCTTCGTTCACTATAGCTTTTTTTTTCTCGATAATCAAGGGATCACCCCCCGGGCTCCATTTCTCCCTGTTTCCTGCGAGTTTCGATTTTCTTCTGTGGTTTTTTGCTTCCGGTTTTCAGTGGTTTTGTTCTAATTTTTTTGCTTTTGCTTCCTTTTTTCCTTTCTTTTTCTTTCTTTTTTGTTTCTTTCCTTTTTCTTTTTTATTTGTTCTTCTCTTTTTTGTGTGTTATAGAAAAAGTTCATCTCCTATTACAAAATGTTCATCGTATGTTAAGAAAATGTTTCACCCTGCATTATGAAAGAGTTCACTATCATTATGAAAATGTTCAGTGTGTATTACAAAAATGTTCATCGTACATTTAACAAAATTTTCACCCTATATTAAGTAAATGTTCATCGCATTCTTAAAAATGTTCATTATGTACTTGACAGATGTTCACGGTATATAAAAAAATGTTCAATACTTATTAAAAAAATCAGTGTATACCACAAAAATGTTTAAT